TAATGAACATAAACTTTGCCTTTACCCAGTGCTCCGTGCCTTATGTACACCCAGTGTTTATAATTAGCATTGGTGAACTCAATTATGGCTTTTATACTGAAAATACGAATGTGAGAGCCAAAGGACAATGTCCATATATCTTGACTCGCATTTTCTACGAAATTCCACACATTTCAACAAAGTTGCTCGCGATAAAGACCCGGAGTTTACCGCTACTGTTGACAACATGAGTGTTACTGGAGTAGTAAAGTAAACTGACGAACTGAGACGTTGAAAAGGTGGAAGAAACATAAGTGTGTGTTCTGAGGTCTGAGTTGGAACGCGTCCAACCCTTCATACAGGAGTTGGGTGTTTCAATCCGAATCTTGAAATTTTTTACAGAACTGGGATTATTTTCCTCTAAATTTATTTAAGGTCTTAGTGTTGGAATATTGAAAAGTTGAGTAATACTAGGAAAAATTCGGCAACACTTGAAAAAAGACAACAATCCTGTGGAAAGCTAAGCGAAATTCTTACAAGTTTAGTAATCTTGTGAAAATCTTAGGTAGGGAATAACACGTTTTCAGAAAACGGTAAATAATTCAGTAATGCCATACCTCCGTAACTACATGTACGTAACTTCTCATGTGTAAATAAATTTCAGTAATGAATGATTTACTAATACTGTGGAAAGTTAGGTAAAATATGAAATATCACTAAAAATACGAACAGTAAGGCAAGTGAAGTGGTACATAGGCTTGTTAATAGATTCGTATGTTTATTAATATTATAATTATTTGCTCAGTAATACAATGGAAACTGAGCATACAGTGCAATGTATAATGCAATAATATTGTTAATAGTTTATTTTTGCTTTTGTTTGTGTCCTCCTACGGCATTGGAACTTTGAGGGTTTTTTTTTTTTAATCAAAGGGTAAAAAATTTGGCCTTACGATCAAACGTTGACCTTGGGTTGCATCATCAAGCTTTAGCCCAATTTTAAATTTTGATCCAAAATCAGAACGAACCAGCGACTTTTAGATTTGAAAGTGAGCACTATAACCACTGCGCAATATACTATGTACCAGTTCATACTTGTGTATTATTATTGTATACATGCAATACTAACTTTAACCACTTGGTAAAAGATTATAAAGCTATGCAATTTTGAAATTGGTTCCTTAATTAGACTCTACAACAACGAAAATTGGTTTCATTTAGAGATTACAGGTTTTTACATATTGTGTCTTAATTTAATGTATTTTTAATAATTGTAATTTCATAAACTTATTTATAATGACACAATCTGGTCACTGGAACCATAGACTTAGTGCGTGAACGAATAAAATACATACAAAACAAAATACACAAACAATTTTCACTGGAGAGATTAGTACAGATTTAAGCAAATAATAAACTTACAGTAGTGTGAACAATCATAAATCAGTCATCAGGGTGTGGTCTAGAGGTGATTCGTCATGCAATGGCGTTTACATTGTGTTCTGGCAGTGATAATGTGAATTGATATTTACCACAGATGCACTAATAACATAGTTTAAACATACTCCTCATAGTTTCACCTGGTGGTTAGGTGGTTTTTATCACCTTTGCCTAGATCCAATTTTAAGTTTGGTTCTGCTTGGTTCATAAGAAGTTTGTTTTTGCTATTATTGTATTCCTTAGTATTTAATCAATGGTTTGAAAATTGTATCGAATAAAGTTGAGGTGTGAGTTTTGAATATAAGAGAAAAATGTATGTAGTTGATATTAGGGATCTCAAACGTCACCAGCAAGCGCTCATAAAACAGATTCAGAGGTGCATGGTGAAAAGACTACTTGTACTTAATCAAATCCAACTTTTGTACATTGGTAATAATTTTAAACACCTTTCAACATACAGTAATTAGATAGGAATCATACTCTTTTAATCTTCGTAAAAATGAAATCGTTATTTAAATTTGAAAAATGAAAGTGCAAATTAATAGTTTACATTATTCGTTCAAACACAATAACATTTTTAATAATTTTTAAAATCACTTGTCAGGTTTTAAATTAATGGTTCTACCGTATAAGAAATTACGATTTGTATAGTTACACCAATGAATACAGAACTTGTATTACAAAACTAACCTATTATTATACTGTATACTGAATGGTAACGTATGCACGTAGCCGTATGTTCAAAGATTTTATTCTTTTCGAGAACAACTTCATGACTCTGTTATTTTTATTTTGAAACAATAATTCCAGGTTTCTACCTTTTCCTCGGTCTAAGCGGGCCAAATTTTTTTATTAGTTGGATTAAACTAAATTAACCACTTTGCTAACTCGTACGTTATATTCGTGTGTATATACTTTATTTGTATACACTTTATTGATATACTTACTAGACATTTACTAAACTAAAATTGTATAAAGGAAGTAAATTCGTTGATCGTTTCTCAAAAACAAGTTTTACATTTCACTCTATTTATATCTTAACAAACTACAGTAAATTTTATAATAAACTTTGATAAAGTGAGGTCCTTATGTTACATCAGGCTTTGTTTGACATGGACCGAACAAAGGTGATATAACCAACAGTAGAGGTGTTTGAAAACCATCAACATTGTTATCCTATGTTGACATTGACCATAGAACACTTCTTACATTACACTGACTGGCTGGGTTAAATGTTGGTGAAATTTCCACCATTAAATCTCGATGCTAACGGTTCAAATCCAGGAAGGGTCAATCAAAACAAATCAAAATGGATTGATCGATTCGAATCAGCACCTAACTAAATTGACCAAAATAATTGAACCAAGCCTAATTAAATTATTACTAGTGGCTTGTAGGGGCAATAGCCCCTATATATATGTAATATATTCTAATAATTATTTTGTACAAATTATTAGTCTCATGGGTTACCGTACCCTAACTTGAATTATCGTTAAAATTTTTGTATATTATAATAATGTATAATAGTTATCACATACCTGCATAATTCATTTTTATGTCTACTCTGTTTAGGATAAAAATTCGGGAGGACTCTTCATGTGGTGTGTTTATAACATAAATTTTCTAATCATAATACAACAAAATAACATTTTCAATAATAATCTTTATGACTATTAATTAAATATATATACATTTCTTTGAATATAGACAAATTCACTTAGAAAAACACAACACATAGAGATAATGTCATCTTCCAAATTGTAAAATACTAATTCTGTAACAAAATCTCTCTGAAAACAACATTTGTTGTATAATATCCATTTTGGTCCATTCCTTGGTCTTTATTTGGTTCTACAGTATTACTATTTTAACGTCATCTGGCCGCTTTACCCGGCTAAATGCAACATAAAGTTGACCATGGGTAAACACTGGGTTTTTTTTTTCAAATAAATGCCAACTTTTGAGAAGGTTTGGCCTTGCGCTTTATTTATAGTAATAGCGAAAGCTAATCGCAATAGGAATTGAATCCTTGTAAATTTAAAGGGCATATTAGGATCTGTAGATATTAGTTTTATTTTTGGCATGGAAAATATGTTCCCTTTGCCTACTCCAGTAATTACTTCTAACTTTACACTTTTTTCAGACATACCCAACACAACCAATCGTACTCCATTAACTAATCCTTTTAAAACTAATTTGTGTGGTGGCATTCCAGATGGTGTAATTGAATTTATAAACTCAATTGGTATGTTCAACCTCTCTGTAGGGTCTTCTGAAACTACTTCATCATTACTGTAGTATTCCTTATAGTCTCCTTCGATGATTTTTAATACTTCTTTATTTAAATCATCACATTGTTCATTTAAAGGACATACAATTATTTTTGATTGGAGTAGTTTTGAATATTTTATGGATTTATTGAGTTGCCATAAACAATTGCACAATCAGACAGAACAAAGTTATCTTGAATGTCAATTGCCGGTGTTGCCCTATTGCTCTCTAAGGTTCCATTACCTAAGCGTAGAAGCCAATCACAAAATGTTGTTTCATTTTCATTTGCAGCACGCATGTTTACTTTCAAATGTACTATAGTTACATACAGTACATATACATACTACCTTTGACTATTAATACAACTTCTGTAGCCAATAGTCAATGATATTACCATATGCTTTAAATAAAGTAAAACCACATGTTTTAAAGTAAACAAAGCAGACATGATCTAGATTCCCATACTATTTAAATGTGAATTATTTTATTCTGAAATAATTTTTTGGTGCATAATTAAGAAAAATGAATATTTTTCCCCAAAATTTCATGCCCAGACCTTTAAAATGAGACCTCTCCCAGCTTTCTACGGCATCCAGTTCGCTCACAATTTCATTGTAAAATTTTGGGCTTACGGAATTAGATATATAGATTTTTAATCTCCAGAAATTTCAAAATTCACTAGCTTGTGTCAAAGTGCATGCAATAGTTTAGATTAGAACCATATGACCACTACACGCATGTATACGCGTAGGTGCTTATTTTTGAGCAAAGTTGAATGAACGATGAGTGTGGTGTAGACTGAGGTGTGAATTTAGCAAGTATTGTTACTGACTAAAATTAGTCTGGACCATTTATCCGTTGAACATTTCTATACGATAGTAAAATAGCCCAATTATGCAAGTTTGTCTTTTTTTAATTAAAAAAATGTGTATGGTGATTTTCTGTTCTTTGTTTTGAAGTTAATTTTTGGTGATGATGGGTTTTGCATGATCTATCAGATTGTTGTGAAATTTTCCCATTAGGTTAGTAAATAAAAATGTTTCAAAAAGTTTAGGGATCTGAAATCTGACCAATCATGACCCCCTGAGTTTCTCACTTGAGAACCCAAAACGTCTTGAAAACATAGGATTTTAAAAATCGTGATGGAAAATGCCCTCAATAAGTGATAAGTTATTAGTGATGTTTTGCAAAAAGAAATTGAACTAGGTTTACAATTTAACCAACCTATACAAAAGTACGAACATAATGAATATTTTTATGCCAAGATCATCAAATCATAACTAAATTTATTATAGAGTGAAATGACTTACCAGTTTTTCCAACCCCGGTTTGACCCAGAACCATCACCTTGAGAGGTTTATGGCGGGAACACAAGCCAATCTTGCAGAACGGTGACGATTTTGGCGGGCTAACAGTTGACATGGTGGGAATGTCACCTCATCGCGAATCTGAAAACAATTTGACTTTCTCAAACTTTAGGTATTATGCGTTTAAGTACCTATTATAGTAATAAATATTGACTTGGGGTACAGAAATAGCCCTTCATCATCCACTTAAAATCTAAATCGTATTTTGATGAGAGATAACGATCTACAAGTTCTAGACATAACTATGTGTTTCAAGACCTTTTAAGGTAACATTAAAGGTGGCATTGACTTGGTCATAGAAACTGCCCTTATCAACCTATTTTATCAATTAAAGCATATTTAAGCTGGTTTCTACTGTGCTTCTCTCTTTTAGATAACGGAGGACAAGAAGGAGTCTACCAACAGATCGATATATCGTCACAATTGTTTTTAAATGAAAAGAAATAACTAACAAAATGATGTTATGTAAATACACTGAAGGGCTAGCAGACGAAAACACGCGTTAACATTAGAGTGAATTGCTCCGTAAGGATAACAAATCAATAACGGGGTATTTGCAATACGACAAAGTCCCATGGTTCAAAATCCAAAAATGAAAAAAAGTTCGTCTTTGCATTTGTATGATTTATCCTATGAGCGGACATAGAACGTATCCCTTTATATTAAAGATCACTACCCTATTTTGGGGGTTAAATTATAAGGTATAGTTTTGAAATTTATCTTTAAACACAGCTAACAATCACCAGTTTTGAATTACCGGTAACTTAAACTTCATATTACATTATTTTTACATAAGAAAAAATATATGATAGTTTTGTGGAAAATTTACAATTTATTTTAAAAAAAACTTGACTGTCACTTTCAGGCTATCTCACTCTAGATAGCGAATTTTGCCCCATTGTTGTAGTTATCAGACATGTTATTGGCAGCACGAAACAGCAAAGGCTATTCCCAGAAGAGAAATACATCAGTTTAGATGATATAGGTTTACAAGTGGTACGTTGGAGTATGTGATTTTAATAGTAGATAGTAAATAGTGGAGTAATAGAGGTGTATTTAAAATGGGTTTCAAATAAATAATATTACAAATATCTTTCATTTTTCGCAGTTTTATGTATTATATTTGTACTAAATCGTTTATTGGACATTAAAACAAGACTATTGCTATTTTGTACGATTGCTCCTTTGGTATTTGTTTACGTTTTGTACAAATATTTCTATAGCTTAGAATAATTAATAATAGGTTTTATCAACAGTCTTAGTTGCTAATTCCAAACCTTAAATTAAATGAAATAGGATTTATTTTCACAAGGTTTTATGAAATACAAAAAGAATAGTATATATAAGTGTTGCATACACTTATTTAATTACAATTACAATACTCATTTAATCAACAAAACCTTGAAAAATTGAACCTAAAAACCTTTTACCTTCTCACAACCTTTTACCTACAACCTTTTAGAATCTCACAACAACGTCAAACTAATGTAACTAATGTAAAGTGCGTTGTTTAGTGAATGGTGAAATATTCTAAGATGTTTCTCGTATATGAGCAAATCTGAGACAAGATTTTACTCTACCTGAACACTCGCGAGAGCCTTGTTTATGTCAAGGTATAAAACTCTCATTTTACGCAACATTACCTTTACTAATAATGTGATGTGTCTTAGTTTAAAATCTCAGTTAATTGAACTATAAGTATAAGGATGTGTATATACGTACAGCAATTGCTAGATAAAAAATAGTAGGATTAACATGAAAAATAATTTATTTCTACATAGTTAGTTTCAGTTGAGACAGTAGTAACATACATCATTAGGTTCCCTTAGTAAGTAATGTGGTATAATTGAAACTAACTTATGAGAAACTTCATTGAACTCGACATTGGATTATTGACTGTGTTAGAACCACAAATTTTGGTTTCATGTTCTGCGTGTTATTTTCACCTCGTGTTTAAGATTAAATATCAGTAGGCTACATCATGACTGAGGTCTGAAGGTATATACAAAGGTATATACAATTAAATCATATTGTAAAACATGTTCGTTTTAGTGTCTATAATAACAAGATTAGTCCAATTCAAAGTTCTTGGGTAAAATGTAATACTTTATACACATAAACATGTATGGATAATTTTTAAACGTTTAATTTATTTACATGTACAAAAGGCCCAGTTTTCCAAAAGTAACCTCCTTTTCAATATAGGCTAGTCGAAACAAAATTGTACTCATTACTGGTATTTCGAGGGGTAAGTTTATATTGTTCAACGGAAATTATTTAACTAAAACAGGTCATGTAAACGAGGCTTAAAGTGCACTCACGATTATGAAATATTTGAATAGATTGATTTATTTTATCGACAAAAACTGAATGATAATAATTAGGATTTTCCAAATATAATTTTCCACCATCCATTCTACTATCTTAAACAAATAGTCAAATGTAAAACATTTTTGGATTCATTAACTATATTACTATATTACACAATCGGTCATTTTTTTATATGTTAGTAAGGGACAGTTGATAGAAACAATGACTTACGCCAAAATTATTTTCAAACATAACGCAATGCTTAAAATATACAACAACTTGATAGCATAGTTTTTGTACATATAGTTAAACGAGAGAGGTCTAGCATTTTATTTTATTCTTATCTAGTATCACATAATATTCAATAATATTAAACATGTCTAGATTAATGTATACCTAAAATACTAGCCTATTCAACTAATTAAAATTGTATCAAAAAATAATACTCAACAATGAAAAAGTTCTTTAATAAATAATAAAAATATTTCATATGGAAACTAAGTATGATACTTCTTTGTTCACTGATCGCCCAAACCATATACGCAGTATCACCAATGACGTAATATATAGAACCATACATAGTGGGGGTGTCACGTCGAATTAACCCTAATGAAATTGCATCGCAAGCCAACTGAACTGTATTGCAATGTATGTGTGTATTGCATACACCCGAGACTTTGTATTGTGTTTATTGAGAATAGTGTTGCGTGCATTGTTAAAGCAGATTTAGGTAAATGGGAGTTTATACATAAAATTAGCATAATACCGGGGGATACAACGACGTTTACTTAATGAAAAACGTTTTATGTCGGATGAAATTATACAATTAAGAATCGGCGTAGGATGTTAAAATGTTGACAGCTTTGTCGTGACAGCAAATTTTATTGACCATTAACTCAAAAAGTAATTTCAATTTTACTATTTTTCCAACCAAATTGTCTTCACTGCAATAAATCTTATTAATTGCATTTCAGAATAAGCAATTGTAATTATTGTAAAGCAATAATAAATTTAAGGCAATTAGAAACACAAAACATATTTTTGATTCTATAACATTTATATTGAATGTTCTAAAGTGTTTATCAAGAGGTGTATCTGCTTAATACATTTTTTTGGGCTGGTTAAACTTAATTGAGTTCGCAAACCAGCGAAAGTTTTTAAAGTTTTCAGAAATTGCGTTTTTCAAATCTTTTCCTAAAAATGTAAATGCCCAACTTTACCTAGCCATCATGTAGAGCTTAAAAAACAAACAATTTTACACATTGAATCGTTGTTGTAGGATTAAAGGTTACGGAGAACATTCCTAATGACTGTACATTTAACATTTCCCTGGTATTCTTATGGGGAAAATGAATTCTGTTGTTATTTGCTTGTTTATGGGTATAATATAATAAAATATGTAAAATGTATTTATTTCATTCCATACTATTATTATTTTGTTTTGAAAAATCCCTTTCGTAGCAAACATAAGTACTCGTTAAATCGAATATTACTTAAATAGGGCACAATTTAGACTTGTTTATGGAAATATTTTAGTGAAAATTCGATGTAGCTTTAACAAATAAAAAAAAAACTCCCAGTCGTTTTAATGAATAATGGACCAATACAATTATTTGGCAATAGCTACAGAACTGCAGTTTGGAAGTTAGGTGATATATAGGTTTCCAGAACAAGCAAAAACTGTATAACCACTAGAGTCAGTGTGCTCTCTGGGTTTTGTAACACCTTCCAGATTTATGAGTTTCTTACATTGTCTACGAGCTGAAACATTACAAGCTGAAAATAAAAGCTATAGTTGTAATTTTATAAACTATGGAACCGCTAAATATCATGTTTACTTATATTTCTGTGATGTTTAATCTTTTATATCACACCAACCATCTCAGTAACAGGTATAACGTTAGACTGAAGCTCACTTTGTAAGTTAAGTTTAAAAAAACAATTCCTACAGCTGGACAACCCTCGACGATAACTAGTTCCTTCTTTAATATTAGAAGTAAAAGATAATATTAATGAGCAATAGTTCGCTCGAATCTGAGCACCCGTAATCAAAATCTATAAAATTAACATTAATTAATTCTCTTGTTAACTAAAGCAATTAGCTTTTGGTTTCGACAAGCTTTGACCTGACATATTGTTTAATGTGGTGTGACAGGGACTGACCCAACCCAATGTACCGTGATCCTTGCACATTGTCTTTCTCTATTGACAACGAGTCAATAACCACTCTTTTTGATCGGGCGCATATTGTTTGTAAAATTATTAAGTCCGTCGTTAAAAGCATAACGTGTGAAATTGGGTGAAAAATAAGACTTGGGATGGTTTTTTGTCTAACTTCAAAATCTAGGAATGCTCCACTCTAGCCTGGGGCAGCGGCATTATCACACTTGGATAGTCATAATTTGCGGGATTTGAACCCGAGGCCTTGGGGACCAAAATCCCGAGCTTTACGACTTGACCAGCTAACTCTTACAACACTTACGATCGAGAAAGTCAATAAAATACTCCTTTTTTAATCATTAAGTTAGTAATCATTAAACTAAATTCATTTAAAAAAACCCCTAACTACAATTGTAAGCAAATACATGTATATTCGATTTAAGTAAACAAAAGCTCAAGCTAATAATTTGAACTTTTCTTGATAATTACTTCTATTCAATCCAAATTAGTTTCATAAAAATCATAAATAAACAAAAACTTTTTAAGTACTGCAATTTAAAATGTTATTCAATCAAAATAAAAACTTCCGGGCAATATGTTTTAGGTCTACTTGGAATATAGATGTTTGTTAAAAAACTAAATAAACAGGTAGTGCTACCATTAAAATTGGTAATTTTGAACAAAGATAATTTTCAAATCGCGATTTCTATTGAAATTATTATCTTAAACTGGCATTCAACTAATTTACATAATTTATGAATAAATAATAATTGATTAAACTTAATGATGGCTCATTGAATATTCATGAATCGAATATTTACGGCTCGTTACCATTTTTATAGGGAAAGAAATAAATTGTGAATTATCAGCTAAATACGTATTGGCCAAATTATTTAAAGATTATTTTTACGCTTAAATATTATATATGTTGTTAGGATTCAAACAAATTGTAAATTAAATAATTAGGTAAATGTGTTAGTTTGCAAATTTAACTAAATGCAATTTTTTACATTATAAAAATCATAAATTTATCTTTTGAAACGGCACCATAGGGTTTGACTTGTTGTATATACGATGCTATAAGAGGACTATTTCTGAGTATATCCAATAATGATTACGTTACAATAATTATTATCCATCAAATTATATACAAATTATCTTAATCGAATGTCACCATAAAAGAATCTGCTGCATTTTTTTAACAAATCCTTAGATACAATATTGTTATTTGATATACCAAAGTATTAGGTAACCATAGAAACCTGTGCATTTAAAGGTTATTTGGCTCCACTTCCTACTAAAATATTGAGATATGTAGCTAAGTGCTCAAATAGTTATTAGGCAACCAAGCTCACGTTTTTGAGGAATAAACTCTCAATGGACCGATTTAAAAACTTCTCTTTGATGTACATCCATTGATTTACTATAGAACCCGATGTACGCTTCTTCGACTAGAGTCTAGCGTTAAAAATACGTACGAAACTGATTCATAAGCTGTCGAAATATTGAAATAAAACAATATAAAGCCAACTACTGCATTATCTTCGTTACGACTTAAAAAAGGAAACCCTTCTCACTTTCACTACGAAAATATTTGTGTCCAACCCTAAATTACACAAGTATGAGACACATTTACTCTAAAGTTCACGAGTTTTTTGGGTAATACAGATCAACTACCTCAGTAGATGTAAGAAAGGTATTTTTTCCAACAAAAGAAAAAAAATATAAAAAACTTTAACATTATACTTATAGACAGTTGAAGTACGAAAGGTTACTTTATTAAATCCAACTGAGGCACATAAGGAAACCCTTTTGTGGTAACTTTAGAGTCAACCAAGAAACCTATTAGACACTCGATGCATAAAAACACTTAACCCTTCAACTCACAAACTAATTAGGTAACTATGGAAACTTTTGGCATCTTCTTTTACTCGCCAACTATTAAGGTAACTAAGAAACCTGTAACTACCAATAGACTCGCAATGTATGAAATATTTATTCATAAACTCGCAAAAATAAATACTAGTAAGATTAAGGTAACCAAGATAACCTTTTGCTATTAGACTGATGAACAGTTTTACTCTCTAACAGAAAAATTATTGAGACAACTGAACCTTTAAACAAAAGACGCTTTTTATGAAAAATTCCTATTAATGATTTTGTGGTTTTTTTACTATGTACCCAACCTTTCTCAGTGATAGAACTATTCCTTACACACTATTGAGTTTAGTAAGAAACCGTATAATCATAGATTCAATGTAATTTTAGTCTCTAACTAAAAAAATCATTTTGAGGTAAGTAACATAGGCAACATAGGGCTTTCCTTTTGCTACTACACACACAATTTATCAAAAACATTTCTCTCTAACTCACTATCTATTGAGGTAAGCAAGGTGAAGGCAACCGAGGTAACCCGACACCTTCTCTGAGGCCACACTGTGGTATTCTCTGTGCTCGAATTCGATCCACTCGACCGCACTCGCTCATTACCACACACGGGCTTTAGGTTCCACACATTAGGTAAGCGGGGTTGAGCACCAGTTTAGAAAGTGTGCGAAAAACCATATTTGCAAAGTTGTTTTTGGAAAAAAGAGGATTAAAAAATGTAAATTATGTTTTGGACGTACATACGTATTAATTTTAGAAGAATGCGATCTAAAATGTTAGGAAACACTTAGTTGTGTTCGTTTAACTATTTTTGTAGATAGGAAAGGTAGAATTTTCATAAATTTTGTTATTAGTTATTAGTATGAAAATACATATAGAAAACACTATGGGATTTTTTCTAACTATTATTATTAACAGTTAAGTTGTTTTTGTCTTAGCCGTGGAAGTTGGTTTTTCACACTCGTATTAGGGTAGTGTGATACAACAAAAAACTTTTTTTTCTTCTTGTGGTCACCTTTATTTAACCAACTTTGAAACTTTAACACAATTTTACCATTTATAAACGAGTACTCGTATCCTGGTATTTTTACAAGTGGTGAAGCTCCACAGTAAAATCCACCCTGAGGCAATAAAATACAAATGATAATTATATTTAGTCAACCTTAGCGCCCTCAAACGACACCATCGTGAAATAAATACACATAGAAAACAGGATTCACATGTTAAAATTGAATAAGTCTACTTGGTCTATTCAAAGTAAATTAAGATAGAAACTGCGAAATGTTTTAAACGATTAGTTAATTGCGTTATTAAATTTACAAAAGACAAAAATGTAACTTAAGGTTCTCTGAAACGTGATGGACGGGCTTTTGAATAATAAATCCAGAATTAATTAAATTAATTGAAAGCAAATGTTCACAGCACCATTTGAAGCTACTCTTTGAAGTAGTAAGCTCATCTTTTCATATTAACTACGTATTTTAAACCTTCTCTTAATATTACAAGATTTCAAGTGTAAATGATGTGCTTAAGCGAAAGAAAACTTTCTTTTAATGTCTTCTTCGTGCTTAAACCAATTAATTTTATTTGCCTTTTGTTTGCCTGACGATGGCGGAGATCAGTAAATAACCGCCGAAACATATGTAGCAACATCGACACTACATGTTAAGGATTGTCTGACGAGGTATGTTTTAACCATTATGTGTCATATTACGCAATCCTGGGGCTATAAAAATGAATTTTAATTAATTTTAACTTAACAGAATTTCTACAAAGAAGTGGGTTATGAATGTTGACTACCAATAGACTAAAGTGAAGTAGAAAATTTATACAACTATTTTAAGTAACGAATAGCTCGAATAAAAGATTGATTCATTAACGAAAACAAAGTGGTTTTGTATCCAAGCGTTTTCCATGTTATAGTTCATGATTTGTATCATTAATTTATTTAAGTAAACCCCCATATTCGTTCTTAGAGTTTCCCTATAAAGGAGGTACACGTAAATTATATATTTTTTCAATGTAGCATTTTATATCTAGTTTGAAAAATAATCAAATCTAAGGTTTTGTTAAATTAATTTTAGCAGAATGGCATTTCTTGGAAAGATAGTACAACCTTTCACCATTAACACACTATTAAAAACCAGTTAACTCTTAATTTTTTAGCCAATTTAAAAATTTAGATTAGGAAAGTACCATTATTCGGCATCTAATATTATTGGTTTTGTAAAATATCGTTTTCATTCTTATAAATCAGTTTAATAATAACAAACTTGAAGATGCTGTTGTAAATTATAGCATATTTAGTATAGAAAGTGTAGCAAATCAATAGTAATATCAAGGATGTTTAATTATGTTACTGTAATAATGAATTAAATATTTCAAACTTTAGGGTAGATTCTAAGGTCATGTTTTGGCCAGACAAATTACTTCTCTTCAAAATAAAAGGATGAATCAATTTAAAAGTCATCATCAATATATATGTAATGTAAATTAATACTAACAGTATTAATAGAGATATTGAATGTTATCTTGAGCCAAAGCAAATTAAACAAATTATGCACATGCTTTAACTAAAACGTGATGGAATTTTAATACTTATTTTGGATGCATAACATTGGAGAAATAACCAAATCACCAGAGGGAATATTTGTTTGATTTCCAGAAGAAACTTTATATAACAAAACTCGATGAAATGCTTCATTAAGCTGCCGCAAATTAGAAAGAAAAGAAAACTTCTTTATTTTGTGAACAGATTCACTGACTCAGAATCACGATTTACAGAAATCTTCTTTTAATATTTGTATTGTTTGCGTAATAAAAGCTACATAAATAGATCCTTAGTGCAACACGAGTTTCTTTGTTGTTAATGATTGATTTCCGAACAAACATAGCATAACTTGACCTTTTCTGGTAAAAGCTGAAGGGTTCAATGTGTTAAATGTCATTTTTTGGTCATATTACACTCTGTAAATGATTTTAAAAACCGGCATTTAAATATAAAAAATAAGTACGGCAAGTCTCCTTAAAATCATATATAATAGAATAATGTATATGGCTGAACAAAAATATGTTGCAATCACTTAAAGCAGTAGCCAAATTATTGTACAATATTACGTGCTACACATATCATTTCACACCATTCTACCATAGATAAAACATACTCCCTCTACTCTCATCCTTCACTCATGTTGGGGTTAAAATACGCACTTAGGTGGCGTCCCCATCTCAATTATTTGATAATTAATTGATAAAAATTTATGTAAATAATATATTTACACAAAACTTACACTATTTTGTTGGTAGATACGCTAGTGGTAAACATGAGTTTTTAACAGTTGTGGAGTTTTGTTATAATTGATAAATGATATTATTAAAAGTCTTAAAACATTATTTAAATAATCCACACTAAATAAAAATTACTTCCCACACTAAATAAAAATTACTTCAAATTTAGAAGAAGGCAAAATTAAACTATTCCAGTTCTAAAATACTTCGAATCTTAAAAGTTGTAGAGTTTAAAATACTTAGCAAAATTCGTAAAAATATCTCAAGACCTTTGAAATGTCGCTATACATTAAAATATGTAATAAACTTACCTACGTGTAAAATCCAATGTACCTATATGCCTAAAAAGATTGTTTTAAGGAAACAAGCGAGAGTACCAGAGCGCTATCGACGATACTACGGGCTTCAACGGGAAAGTTGAACTGAACTCACCAACCCATCCACCAACTCACACCCACACCCACTGTAAGTCTGCGCACCAACCATCAACAGTTGATGAACAACGTAGAAGGGACAGAGCCCACTTTTAAGACTAATTGTGTAAAAGTTGCGTAGTATTTTGTTATGGCATGTTTTTAAAATTATTATCATTGAGCTAAATAAGATAAAAGTTAAAGTATGGCTTTTCTTTGAGGCTTTTTTCAGGTACCGAAGAAAGTTTTTGGGAGAAGGTTAATAACATTCATTACTTGTTATGTGAGATTTAATTAGCACCCCAAAATCGTTTATATCTTGGTTTTCTTGTAAACGAAAAAATGTTTCTGTTATTTAGATCATTGTCAAAACATACCCACTTGGTAGATTTGTCATCCTTTCTTAAGACAATTTTTTTTTGTTCTGTTCGGTGCACTGTAGAGGTTGTGTTTAATTACAATTTGTTTTTTGTTATTTCAGTCATTTAAAACCTCGTTTGACTCCAAAAAAACTCGTCCTATAAAACCAAACAGTAAAGCATAAATCATTAAATTAACCCTAAAATATTATAATCAAAATTTTGTCGACACTAGCGATCAGTGTCACCGGACATTAACTAGACACGAAAAAAACTTCAAAATTTACAATGAGATAACAATTCTTCTTGTGTTTAAATAGTCTATGCTTATGTAGCAGGACACTCTCTGGTAGTGAACTAACAAGAAAAAGTTTCACGTTTCAAAATAGTACACTGACAATTGATTAAATATACACTAATATAAACTGCGGAAGAGAGTTTTGTAACAAAATATAATCGAGTATTTGATTCTGAATAAAGTTGTTCAGCTGGGGATTTCATTGGTCCAAAAGCAGAGCGATAAATATCAACGAACCGCCTCAGAGAGGAAACAGATGCGGTCAGAATAATCGTAAATAAGTTGGTACAAACTGAAACTGGACTCAACTCCAATAAAACTTGTGAAGCCTTTGAGCACAGCAGTTATGATGTAAAGATTGATTTGTACGTCTGTATAATACGCTTTGGGGGTTTGGTTATTGAAATGAATACTGTACCATCTACTTTGTTAATCTAATTGAGTATTTATTCGCTTCATAACAAAGGATTTATCTTATTTGAATAAAATGTCATTTTTTAGTAGAGCAATTAACTTTGCACAGTAAAGTGTTCGTATACATCTCATCCATATGGACCAGCTGAAGCTGAAGCCATATTTGTAAGATCATAATTTAGTGGCTTTCTCATAGAATGTATATTGTCTACTATATTCTTATTTTATTTTCATACTACGGTAGTTGATTGACACATGATATGCTATACAGTAGATTAAAGGACGCCCTTTATATGATAAAATGTTGGTTACTATTAAACAATATAGCAACACACAAGCCATTTATTTACAGTGGTATTTTTCAAGAGTTTTTTTCGTCGTAATCATAATCGTACGCCTATTCTTGTACTAATCATACATGTTTTTGTCCTTTTTGACACTGAAAGTAATACTTCTCAAATTACTTTTTCCTTTAACCTGATTGACTGGTTTAAAACCGTTCCAGAAGGTATTCGTATTATTTTAAAATATATTAAGGTCAATAATTATCTAACCAAGCTGTTTGAATCGTAAATAGATCAAGTAACACGAATACTGGAGGTGTTAAATCCATCGCTAGAGTAAAGGTCCATTTCATATCCTGCGACTGTTACGACTCTAGTCTAGGCTGAAATAAATGACTGCTTTAATGCAAAGTAAATGCAACCGTTTCCTATCGAGCGTCTACAGCCGCGCGACTGAAGCGACTCGAGCCGCGCGGCTAGAGCCGTCGCGACTGGACTGCTCCGTGAGCAGTTCAGTCGCGCGGCTGTAACGAATTTATAGTTAATACATACGAAGTTCGAGGTGTGTACCTTCATAGACGATTCAAAGTTAATGGAACTGGTTCGTCACCACCCATACGTTCACCCCCAATACTTGAAGAAGATGTCTCTGAATAAGAATACTCTGAAACCGCTATTTTCACCGTACCATGAACAATGGATTAGGTTGTTCATTGTTTTTTACCATGCACATTAATAATTCCTTTTCCTCCCTTTCTCCAAGTAATATATTCGCTGCCAACTGTGCTTATTCCATGACGGTCAGTAGTGCAATTTCACAAGTCACTAGTCGTGGGAGTCGTAGGAGTCGCGGCATAGGAATTGAGACAAGCGTCTCCAGCCGTACGGCCCTAGACGCGCGGCTAAAGCCGCGCGGCTAGAGTCGTAACAGTCGCAGGATAGGAAATGGACCTTTAGCGAGTTCTCTTAACTGTTACGTCCGCAAATACTAAACAATCTTTTTATATCTCCTTGAAAGGGTCGTCAATAAGGTCGAATTCGCGTTTCAACAATAAATCAACGAAGTTACATCATGTTATAAAGAGCAAATGTGAAAGTGCAGAACACCAGATGGGGCTAAGTGAGAGAGAGAGGATGGGGGTCACGTAAAGGGGGAACAATGAGAAAGAAGAGAGGATTTTTGGACGTTTTTATCATTTCGAAACCTCCATCTTCACACACTTCTATTCTTTGATAACCATACGTTGCTTAGTGATCATTTTCCCATTTTCTTTTGTGATATTCATCTCTGTATAAATTTATATAGCGTAGGTTAAAGCGTTAACTTTGTATACTACAGGTTTAATTTTATATCATCAGTAAATCCAAAAAAATGTTTGGATATGTGGTTACGCATAAGTGCTAAATCTACTTAACGTTGACTATTATTTTTGGGTGAATTTAACTTTTACCATTGACTTGGTATTGGGCGTAGTCGAAACACGATTTTGTCCATTATTTTAGACGTGTTCTTCAGCTGATACGTAAGGATTAAACATATGCAGTACTGGTTTTATCTATGATTTAGCTCATTAACCCCAAGTAAAACATTACGTGGATTAGTATGTATTTATAAATAGCTTCTTAATCAGTTTATTTGTGTATTAAAATAACTATATGTGTATTAAAATACTTAAATAATTGAAATTTATTTAAATTAATTGAATACTAAATATTTTCAGTGTAGCTGATTTACTTGTCTCTTAAAAGTTTTATTCAATCCGAGCAGAGATAGGTGTTCAGGAACTGATAATAAAATAATTCACTTTTGAAACCAAACCATGGACAATAAGATAATCTACATAGTTCCACACAGACCATAGCACTTATTTGATTATGCAATAATCGTCTTATACATTTCTTTATTGAACACATTTATAAACATTCGAGGTGACAGTCGAGGTTAAATTACTTAGGTTACGCTTTTTTGCACTGCAACTTCTTTGGCTTCTCCAGGAAACGATTCACTAGTAAGTTCAAAAGTTACATACACATAAAGGTACTTTCATGGTGAAAACATAACATAGGTGTGTTAAAAAATAATATTTAAGGCGTCATTATTTTTAGTGTCTACTTATTTTTATCCACCGTTGAATAGAAAGTAATGTTACCTTAATGCTTACAGAAAAGCCGTGTTAAAAGTGTTCGTTTGTTTACGATCACGATTCGCTCTTTATGTAGACCTACTTTTGGCTATGAGTAAATAAGGGTTTCTAATTACAGTACGATTTCTTGATATATCTGTTAAAGTACCAATATTATCTGAAAGTTTAGGTTATTGGAAACTTGTTTCAACTATTGCCTAGCTTTATAGTCAGAGGGTAAAGCAAACAAAGTTCAATTCATCCTGATCGACAAGCTTTTATTTGACATCAGCAAATACTAAAATGAAACCTGACATAAAAAAAATATCATGAAAGGGTTCATAAGCTAACGATCACATGGGAATTCTACTTTCAGTACCTATCTAAAGTTACCTTCCTATGGCTTTAATATTTTACTAAGATTAAAAAACAATGGCAAATACTCTTATACTTTTAATACTTTTAACTGATTGCGTCCACGAGGAAATAATGATTCAAACTGACATTTAAGTAAGAGAAAGGAAAAACTATTGGAAGATAATAACATAAAAAATCGTTTTCCTTTCGCTTTGTTTCCCTTTGAGGTAGCCCCTCCCCCTTGAGTAGCATTAGTACCTAACATACATGTAACATTTAATTTTAACATACATGTTAACATTTTGTATTTACTTTATGGCAATCAATACCTACCATACTCCACTATTAATGACTTTCGTGCAACCACAGATACATCTTAAACAAAATACCCCCGCCGCAGCTAACCTGCTGTCTAAGCGAATTTCCATTTGGCTGAATTGCTTTTCAATTGATCTATTTTAATAAAATTAGGTTTAACGAGTACCTAGGTTTGCTGCTACAAGGAAACTAATAAAGTGTGTGTTTTAAGTAAAATAATTATTGCTTAGTATAAAATGAATATATTTGCCAAGTTTGATCAAAAGATATCCATAAACAAGCAAACTACAACATTTTACAATATTCTCCGTAAGAATAACATGGGGATTTTAAATTTACAATTTTTTTAGTTTTCTCCGTAACCAATAACCGTGCAAAAACACTTTGATATACTGAATTGTTTGTTTTTTTAAGCTCTTTAAGAAGGTTTAGAGGAAAATTGGGAAATTTTGTGTTTTGAGGGTCAAAAGTGAGAAAAACCAATTTTTACCCCATAAAACCCTGTTCCCATGGTCCGATCATGCTGGATCGCGAACTCATTCAAGTTTATCCCGCCTTACACCTTCAAACCAAATTTCATCAAAATCGGATAAAAATTACTCAAGTTATCGTGTTCACGGACACACATATATATATATATATATATACATATATAAAAATTTGAACGAATGGTGTTTTTGGCCTCTGGGGACATCAAAATGAAAAAGTAAATCGGTCCCGGGCCTAAGTCTTACCATGAGACCTACGGTAATAGCTACTTCCCTATAGGGAAATTCGCTAAAAATCACTGAAACCAACCACCGAGACACATGTTTCAGCTATCATATTTTCGTGAAATCCTGCAAATGATGATCAGTATGATTGATTGAACG